TCAGTAGTCCCCTCTGATTAGAACTTCCACGCATTTTGGTTATTCTGAGGAATTGAAGCTCATTTGATCAGATATTGCCTTTTCATGCACTGTGTATTCGTTCTTGATAATCGTTTCCTATCTAGTTCCAAGGACGACTTTCGAGGAAGGTTCGAGGTCTTCCGGATGCAATTGACCCACTGAAAGAGGCCCGCGACTCTCTGGTTTCTAGACTTGCCGCCGCTGAGCTCGTTAGCGCACTTTCTACTGGCGTAGATAACGCCTCCAGTGAATTGCAGGCTGCCTGCCAATCTGCCTTCCTGACCGCCAAGGCGTACTTGCACCTGGCTGAAGCGCAGTCGAAGAACAACCTCCTTGTCAAATTCGACAAGAAACATTTGCTAGAAACCGCAAACAACTTGCTCTACACTGTGGACACGCCTTATCAATACAGAGTAAGAAACCTAGCATCTTACGCCTGCGACCTTCTCTTCACCCATATGTGGATATTTTAAATGTGGGTAGTGTACTTTATATGCCCTGGCGACTGACATTCACATGATTATTGGTTAAGTTCAGCTTTATTTGAGTGAAATGTAGGCATGCCCCTGTTACATCCCTATTTGTTTATATACTTGCATTTATGACTTGTTTCAGATGTCTTCGTATAGACAAAACGAAATAGTCATTCATCTAATGGCGAAGGTACAACTTCATGGTTTTTAAGAAAATATCAAATCAACTGAATAGTAATATCAAGTGGCGGACGTCAATAAGGCTTAACAAAAAACAACAAAACCAGATAGTAAAAAATCATCCTCGAGCCCTTTTTGAAACCCGTGGAAGTGCAAATGTGATTCACAGTTTTTTTATGTGGAAAAACGATCACCCATGCGAATAAAATATACGCGTGTGATTGGCCTACCATGTTGCTGAGATGATGTGAGGTGTTGAAACGCTCCTTGTTGTGGGAATAATCATGTAACGCCAGGTGCTATATTTTAAATTATGACTAGCCGCAGAAGCAACCGTCAGATAGGTGAAACCGGGGCCTCGCCTGCGATAATAATTCTGCGTAAAGAATAAAATCTTATCTGTCCAATGGAGTTGCATGTAGCTCTCAGATCTTAAAACTACTTGTTCAAGGAGCGTCTTCCGCAAAGTGCAAGACCATGTATTCCTTAATTATACGCCTCTTCGCCCCTAAGCAGTGACCATAAGTGAACACCTATTTCGAAGTATGCCTTTGAATTTCCATAATATTGATTGTCCTAATTGGTAATTAAAAATTACTTTTGAAACGTTGGATGATGTAGCATAACCACTTAAACCTATGATACGCGCAAACTACAACCCTTAACGTAGTCGGTAACTTTGGTATCCCAACACACGTTATGGGTCTCATGCCGTCGGGAAATGCTTACATTAGTTTTTTGTTTAAATAAATGCATTCCTTATTCTTGGAACGTGTAAATAGTCGTCAAACCTCGTATTTTAAGGTAGAAGGAAACAAAGGTCGACTGCGAAGTATGTCCACTTATCTCATCTGCGTCTACCATTTTCCTTTTGAATATTTAATCAGTTATTATTAGGACCCTCCTCTCCCAATACATGTCCGAGTAGTGCTAAAAAATGGTTGTTTTTCATCCTGAATAAGCTACTGTGTGCAAATTCATATTACCAACCGTTTTAAACCTGAAAGTTTGCTGTAACATTTTAGCAAATTCTCAAGCTCTGCGAATTGAGGGAAGCTCTCGTGGATGCCGTTAGAGATTTGACGGTTACTGCTACTGTTGAATCGAGCCGCGACTACCCTGTGCTCTGTAACTTAACTGTCACTGACAGTTGGCAAATTGTAAGTGTATGCTGCGTCTTGTATTGTATTCTTGTAATTCAACTTGTTTGATAGAATCGAAGTGCCTAAATCCCAGGAGACCTTTCAGTGAGAAACTGTCAGAAAATACAATTTTGCCATGATGTAATTTTCCCCTGTTTTTTTCTCTGCTACTAACGCTTCTACAAGCTTAGAACACATCCATTCGTATTATGATTCTCAATTACTTCTCATGAAAAATTCATTTTGAATTGACTTACACGTTCCTTTCTTATCCCATCCAACCCGGCGTGGCTTTCAAAACTGCATCTTGTGCAAGCTGGTTGTAGGAACAGTCAAACTAAGCAGGAACTAAGATAAAAACACGATGGTTGCAACTTTTTTTCATAACACAGAGGTCATACTTTTGAAGTAGCATATTTCTGGGCTAATAATTCCTGGTGCCCTATATTTAAAGTCGGGAGACGTTTCTCTTTACCACTTCTGATATATTTTACTAGCATATCCAGAATCTGTATCACTATAGTAAACTGAGTTAAAATTCAGACAATCATCAGATGATAACAAGAACATCATGTATCGAGGAAATTTAAAAAAAGAAGATTCTGGTATTGTTTAAATATCATAAGGTTGGGCAAAAAAAAGTGCCACAAATAGTTTG